CATTTTTCTACATGTAAATAACCAGTTATTCCAGTACCATATGCTGAAGATGCTTTCTTTTTTCCATTGTACAATTTGGGCTTCTTTGTAAAAAATCAGGTGTTCATAGGAGTCTGGATTTATACAAGTGTCTTTGATTTGATTCCATTGATCCACATGCCTGTTTTTATGACAGTGGTAAGATGTTTTTATTACTATAGCTCTATATAGCTTGACATCAGGGATGGTGATGCCTCTGGAAGTTCCTTTATTAAAGGACAGTTTTAGCTATCCTGGGGTGTTTTTTTTTTCCATATGGAACTGAGTATAATTCTTTCAAGGTCTGTGAAGAATTTTCTTGAGATTTTGATGTGGGTTGCATTGAATCTGTAGATTGCTTTTGGTAAGATTGCCATTTTTACTATGTTAATCCTACCCATCTAACAGCATGGGACATGTAGAAGAATAAAAATAGGTTCATATCTATTATCCTGCACAAAACTCAAGTCCAAGCGGATCAAAGCCTTCAACATAAATCCAGTTACACTCAAACTGATAGAAGAGAAAGTGAGAAGTAACCTTGAATGCATTGGCACAGGAGCCTCCTTCCTGAATGCAGAAACCAGTAGCACAGACACTGAGGTCAACAATTAATACAAGGAACCTCCTGAAACTGAAAGGCTTCTGTAAGGCAAAGGATATGGTCAGTAATACAAGACAGCAGTCTACAGAGTGGGAAAAGATCTTTACCAACCCCAGATCTGACAGAAGGCTATCTCCAAAATATATAAAGAACTCAAGAAACAATACATCAAAATACCAAATAATCCAATTTTAAAATTGAAGTACAGATGTGAACAGAGAATTCTCAATAAAGGTATCTCAAGTGGCCAAAAGGCATTTTAAGAATTGCTCAACATCCTTAGTCATCAGGGCAGTGAAAATCAAAATAACTCTGTGATACCATTCTACACCTATCATAATGGCTAAGATCAAACACTGATGATAGCTTATGCTGGAGCGGATGTGGTGTAATGAGAATACTCTTCCTCTGCTGATGAGAGTGCAAACTTGTACAGCCACTTTGGAAATCAGTATTGTAGTTTCTCAGCAAATTGGATATCAATCTACCTCAAGACCTAATGATATTACTCTTGGGCATGTACCCAAAGGATGCTCAATCATACCATAAAGACACTTGCTCAACTATCTTTAGAGCAGCATTATTCATAATAGCCAGAACCTGGAAAGAACTTAGATGCCCCTCAAATGAAGAATGGATAAAGAAAATATGGTACATATACACAATGGAGTACTACTCAGTGTTAAAAAATGACATCATAAAATTTGTAGACAAATGGATGGAACTAGAAAAAATCATCCTGAGTGAGGTAACCCAGATCCATAAAGAAAAACATGGTATGTACTCACTCATAAGTGGATAGAAGATGTAAAGCAAAGGATAACCAGGCTACAATCAATAGCTCTAGAGAAACTAGGTAACAAGAAAGCCCCTAAGATGGACACAAAAATCACCTTGGGAGGGGGAGTTAGATGAGATCTGCTGGGAAAACCTGGGGTGGGGGGTAAAGGGGAGGTGATGTGGGATGGGAACATGAGTGATCAGGATGGTCAAGTTTGGGGAGGGAGAGAGGGAGAGCAATGAAAGAGATATATTGATAGAGGGGCCTTTATGGGGTTAGGTAGAAACCTTGATGCCAGGGAAAATCATAGGAATCCACAAGGATGACAGCAGCTAAGACTCCTAGCAATAGTGGAGACGGTGCCGGAACTGGCCTTCTCCTGTATTCAGATTGGTAACTACCCTAATTCTCATCATAGAATCTTCATCCAGTAACTAATGGAAGCAGATGCAGAGATCCATAGCCAGCACTGGGTCTAGCTCAAGAGGGATGAAGGATTATATAAGCAAGGGGGTACAAAATAATGTTGGTAAACTCACAGAGATAGCTGAACCAGTTCGTGGGAGCTTAGGAACTCTAGACCAACAGCTAGGGAGCCTGCATGGGACCTACCTAGTCCCTCTGCAAGTGGGTGAAAGTTGTGTAGCTCGGTCTATTAGTGGAGCCCCTAGCAGTGGGCCCAGGATTGGTCTTTGGTGTATGAGCTGTTTTTTTTGGAACTTATTCTCTGTGGTGGGATGCCTTGTTCAACCTTGATGCAGGAATGAGGATCTTAGTTCTGCCTCAACTTAATTATGTCATGCCTTGTTGACTTCCACAGGAGGCCTTACCCTTTCTGAGGAGTGGATGTGAGGCAGAAAGGAGATGGGGGAAAGAACTAGAAGGGAGGAATGAGGGGAAACTGTGGTTGGTATGTAAAACAAATAAAAAGTAATAAAAAAAAACCAAGTTGCTGTGGTCATAGTGTTTCTTCACAGCAATAGAAACCTTAAGCAGTAATCAAAACACTATTTTCACTGATGTCACCCAAACTGAAGGAATAAAAATAGACTTAAACAGATATATAGAGAAAAAAGGCAATCTAATAATTTCATTTCCACTATCAAATACTATTTTTATTGAATAACCATGATATTGGTAATGAGCTAAGTAGGGCCAATCAATGAATCTGATTATCCTTTTTAAGGGCAGATAATCTTGATTCCAAGAATCACACCCTTCTTACACATGATCAGACAGAGACAGTGAGAAGTACTTATCTAGCAGTTAAAGAAGCTCTCAGGCTAACTAGAAAGTCATTGCCTTTATGAAATAAGATACTGTTGACTCAAGATCTCAAATGTGGTGGATGAAGGTCCTCTTAGAGGTAAATGACTTCTTGTAACAATTATTGTTGGATAATTTTTGTTGAGTATATTCCTGAATAACTTGGAACTTGCTCTGTAGACTAGGCTGGCCTTGACTTCCCAAAGATCTGCCTTCCAAATGCTAGGATTAAAGACATGCTCACGATGTTTGGCTAGTTGAGAGAATTTTTATATGGTAGGAACAATTGCTTTAGATTTTGTTTTTCCTTCATTATTTAGGATCCAGCCCAGAATGTCATGTATTCTAAGTAATTGCTTTATCACTTCAAGGCTCAGATGGAGTATTGATTAGACTCTAGTGTCTGCAAACTTACTTTATCTGTCATGCCATGTCAGTTCTCAAAACCAATTTACAAAATGTGATTATGATACTAATTATAGGCAATGGTATTTAGAAAAGTTTAATAACTTTCCCTGAGTTAAAGACATGCATTAGGTTTAACACATCAAATTAAATTAATTTTTACTTAAAAAGCCAAGTGTCTTCAACATAATTATGTTAGAGATGCTATTGACAGCAACACACACACACACACACACACACACACACACACACACACACACACAAAATCCAATTGTTCTCTCACATAGCACATTAAGTTAATGGGAATAGTTAAGAAGAATGAGGTTTTTGAGGTGTATATTAATAACAAATATTATTCATGAAAAACACTAAATATTATGTTATTACTTGGTATTATCTTTAATCCTCATTTCAATTTAGTATTATGAGTTATCTCATCCTTTGTACTGTTGTTGTTGTTCTCTGGGAAAGTGTTTTATACAGCCCAGGCTGGCCTTGAAGTCAGGCATTATATAGACACAGATGAACTCCAATTCCTCATATCTCATCTACCAAATGCTGGGATTGCAGATGTATGCTGCCATTTCAAGTCACCCTTTTTATAAAAAGATAAAAATTAAAGGTCAGCAAGTATGACCATATCCAAATATCATCCAGTGAGCAAATTCTCTGCAGCTCCTTGCAAAGATACCAGACTCTACATCTTAAACCACTCTTACTATGCATAAAGAGCTCATTACTTTATGTTCAAAGAACTTGTAAGATATTTCTAGTGAAAATGGGAATCAATGGTACCCAATGTCAAGGCAACATTCCTGACCTAGGACTTAATTGAATGGCTCTACCCAAACAATTGCAAACAGCAAAAATGGAAATTATTAACATATCCCACTAAAAATAGAGGTTCTTCAAAACAATCCTCAGACAAAGTTCAAAATGTGCCATTTAATTCTTTTATTGTAGAAACTAAAAGGGAGAAATGTGGAAAAAGAAAAGAAAAGGAAAACAAATAAAAGAAAGAAAAGATATTTCTTCCTTGAACTCCTCTGGACAACATCAAAAAAACTTGTGCTGCTTGGTGGTGGCATACACCTTTAATCCCAGTACTCAGGAGGCAGGGGCAGGTGGATCTCTGTGAGATCTAGGCCAGCCTGGTCTACAAAGTGAGTTCCAGGCCAGACTCCAAAGTTACATGGAGAAACTCTGTCTCAAAAAATTAAAAAAAAAAAAAAAGAGAAAGAAAAAAAAAACTTGTGGGCTTTTGTGTAGATAACCACATCTGCAGCTGCAGTCAAATTATGAATGCATTGGGTATATTATGTCCAGAAGATATATTTTTTGATGAGAACCTTTTGATCCCCTAGCTCTTATATTCTTTCCAGTCCTTGAGTCTTGGACAGGTTGATACAGATGACTCATTCAGAGTCAATCACTACACTATCAATTATTCTTGGCACTTTAGTTACCTTAAGGGATCGGTAGTTGTTTATTGTTAAAGTAGGGATTATATTTTCTTCAGTGCTGTAGCCCCCAATAAGTTGCCATGTTTTAGGAAATAACTTCCTGTCTTTAATAAGACAAGTAGTTACAATTAAATTTAGAGGGTCACACATAAAGAAAACATCAAAGCAGCAAGGGGAATTGTATGGGAAAAATGGTGTTAGGAAAAGAGAGGAGCAGAGTAGAAGGGAAGTAAGGATGAAAAACATTAAAGTTCATTGAAGTAATGGGTAACCAAGAATAATGACAAGAGGTCTCAGGCTTTCTCTGACTGATAAGCTCTAAGAAGATAGTGCGTGCCTGACTTTTAGTAGCTCATGACTTCTTGGTGAATCATTTTTTAATAATATGAGGGTGCTTCTATTTAAACTTTATTTTAATTTTTTTTTGAACCTGAAGTGTTGCTCCTGCCAGGGTAACATTTAGGTGGATGTTGGATCCATACCTCTCCTTCTCTTCTTCCTGTACCAATCCCACATCTAGCTCTGTAGCAGAAAACATGCTGTGGTCTCCCACATCTAGCTCTGTAGCAGAAAACATGCTGTGGTCTCCCTTTCCTCTCTGATCCCATCCCAAATGGAATACAAAGATCTTCTCCTCTAGCTTCCCTTCCCTCAACTTATCCCATTATCCTAGCCTCCAATACCAGCAGAAATTCATTGGGAATACAACAGCATAGAAGGCTAGGGAAACAGGTAAGCCAGCTGAAGACCTTTACCATCCCTTCCTTATCCCTAGCACAGCAAAAGAATACCAGCTGCAGCAATCCTTTCTCATGGCCCACATTTCCTGTGGATCCCACAGACCATATTCTCCTAAAATTTCCCCCCATACTTTTTGCTTTATCTCAGCCCCCAACTCCAGCAGGCACCTCCTGCTAACCCAAAGGCTACACATGCCAGAAAACTAGGTAGGCTGTCTGTAGATTGTAGCAGAAGTTTTGCTGTGTTCTACCTGGTCTGCAGCCATTTAGACCCAAATAAACACACAGAGGCTTATATTAATTAAAACTGCTCAGCCATTAGCCCAGGCTTCCTACTGACTAGCTCTTACACTTAAACTCAGCCCATTTTTGTTAATCTATATGTGACCAAGTTTTCTGTGGCTTTACCTGTGTGGCATTACATGCTGCTCCCTGGGCTCCCTGCTCCCTGGTGTCTCCTGACTCAGCCTTTCTCTTCCCAGAATTCTCCTTGTCTGCTTATCCTGCCTATGCTTCTTGCCTGACTACTGGCCAATCAGTGTTTTATTAAGCCAGTATACAAAAACATTATCCCACAGAATTTCCCCTTTTCTGTTTAATGAAAAGGAAGGTTTTAACTTTAACATAGTAAAATTACATATACCAAAACAATTATCAAACAAAAATTACAGTTATAATATCTAGTCTATTTGTATTTGGCAAAATTAAAGAAAATATTCTACCTATCTTATATTTGTGAGTCCAAGGTTTCATATCTACTTTATCTCCTATAAAACTAAGGAAAACCCTAATTATAATTATCTACTCTTCAACTACATCAAAGACCTCAGAAGGATGCAATATTATCTAAGTAAACAGGAAGAGAATTGTAAACAACTTCCAAAAATCTAGAATGCCTCTCTGGACAGTCATCCAAAGTTCCTCTACAGCCTTGGGGCATACATCTTCAGCCCATAGGCTTAGAGTTTCTCAGTCACTTTTCTCTGTGTCATGTAGAATGTCTGCTAGTTTCTTCTGTGAAGCAGGAACCTGAAGGACCATTCTGCCTTGCAAATTTCAGTGGTCAACTTCTTATGGGTCCTGCAAGTCCAGTTGATGCAACATTTTGTCAAGCAGTCCAGGCAAGAGTAGTTTCTTGCCCAAATGGCTATATTTGCCAAGAAGAAGATAAACTCTGTATGGAGTGTCTTCAACACCCATCTCTCTCTCTGAAGTAAATTGATGTGGCCAGCTGTAAATGTGTCTCATTTTTCAGGAAAGTCTAAGTTTTTAAAACATTTTAAATGCCATATTCTGTAGGTCTTTGAAGTGTTTGAAGATTACCTACTTAATTGAAATATATCTATGTATACCTAGAAAACTTAACATGACTATAATTTTACTATTGTAGAAGACTAATTATTAATCTGTATTTCTCAGTAGATTTCTTTCCGTACTCTAGTCTCCTAGATTCAAATTTCTAGTCTCACTCCCAGCTCTGCAATAAAACACCTGCTGCAGACTCCACACACCCCCAGTTCCCATCTCCTTGATATGTCACAGATTCCTCCTTTCTAACCTCCTTCTACCCATACCAAGCTTTGTTTCAGCCCCCAACTCCAGCAGCCACTCCCTTCTAAGCCAAGACCACTCCTGTCAAGAAAGCAGGTAGGATGTTTGTAAATTTTCTCCTCTCCTTCTGTTCTTCTAGATTCTCAATAGGTATCACTTACTTAAGTTAAATCAAATCAGATAAGCATTTTAATCAAATCTATAACTAGTAAAATACAAGCAGTCATTAAAATTTTCCCTAACAAAAAAGCCCAGTCCCAGATGGTTTTAGTACAGAATTCTATCAGACTTTCCAAGAAGAGTTAACACCCATACTCCTCAAATTAGTCCACAAAATAGAAACAGAAGAACACTTTCTAGTTCACTTTAGGAGGCCAAATATATACCAAATAAAGACTCCACAAAGAGAGAAAATTAGACAAATTTCTGGTATGAACATAGATGCAAAATTACTCAATAAAATATTTGAAAACTGAATCCAAGAACACTTCAAAAAGATTAAACACAATATTCAGTTAGGCTTCTTTACAGAGATGCAGGGATAGTTTAATATATGAAAGTAAGTAAATATAATTCTCCACATAAATAAACTGGAAGGAAAATAAAAACACATGCTCACTCAGTAGATACAGAAAAAGCCTTTGACAAAATCCAAAACTCCCTTCATGATAAATATCCTGGAGAGATAAGGGATACAAGACATACTTAACACAATAAAGGCAGTTTATAGAAAGCCTACAGACAACATCAAATTAAATGAAGAGAAAATTAAAGCAATTCCACTAAAATCAGAACAAGACAAGGTTGTCCATTTTCTCCATATCTATTCAATATATAACTTGAAGTTTTACCTAAAGCTAGACAACTGAAGGAGATCAAGGGGATACAAATTAAAAAGGAAGAAGTCAAAGTATTGTTATTTGAAGATGATATGTAGTTTGTAGATATGATGGTTTTGGTGGAGAATTCCACCAGACTTTCAAAGAAGAGTTAACAACAATGCTCCCCAAATTTTCCCACAAAATATAAACCAAAGCAATATTTCCAAGTTGATTTCATCAGACCACAACTACCCTGATATCCAAACCACATAACAACCTAATGAAGAAAGAGAATTACTGACCAATATACCTTAAGAACATAGATGCAAAAATACTAAGTAAAATATTTACAAGCCAAATCAAAGAACACATCAAAAGAAGGGATGGTAAATCAATATACATAAATCAGTAAATGTAGTCTCTCATATAAACAAGTAGAAAGAGAAAAATCACATGATCATCCCAGGAGATGCAGAAAAGTCCTTTGACAAAATCCAACAATCTTTCATGATTATAAAGTCCTGGAGATATTAGGGGTATAAGGTATGGTGATATTTTATTTGTATTAAAATATTATTTGTATGTTAATAAATAAAGTTGCCCTGGGGTCAGAGCTATTAGCAAGCCATAGGAAAGCCAGGCAGTGGTGGCGTGCACTTGCAATCCCAGCACTTGGTAGGCAGAGTTAGGTAAGTCTCTGTGTGTTCAGGGATACAGCCAGCATTGGAGACACACACCTTTAATCTCAATACCAACCAAAGAAGACCTGGAGGTCTATACAGACAGGCAGTGATGAGGCAGTCATGTGGTTGGGTTTACAACCAATGAGAAATTCTATATAAAGACATTAACACAGGAAGTAGTTCTCTTTCGGAGAGGTAGGACCACCACAGGAGGAAGGGTAAGGTTTTAGCTCTTAGCTCTGACCTCTTGGCTTTCTTCTTTGCATTGTTTCTGTGTTTCTTATTTAATAAGACGGTTGGTTACACCTACAATAAGGGACATGCCAAAACACAGCAAAGACAGTTTGCTAAGAGCCCCTAGTCTGCACCCACTTAAATAAAGCAATCCTACTACAATGAGGAACAAGACAATGTTTTCCATTCTCTTCATACTTATTGTATCAAGTACCTACAGTCTTAGCTAGAGAAATAAGACAACTGAAGGAGATCAAGGGGATACAAGTTGGAAATTTTCATATTATAAGTATTATACATAAATTACTAGGGAACTTCTACAGATGAAAAGCACTTTCAGCAAGGTAGCTGGATCGAAAATTAACCCACAAAAATCAGTAGCTTTCCTATATACAAATGACAAGACTGAGAAAGAAATCAGAGAAACTAATCCTTTCACAATAGCCTCAAATAATTTAAAATAGTCTGGAGTACTTCTAACCAAGCAAGTAAAAGAATTGTAAGATAAAACTATCAACTCTTTGAAGGAAGAAATTGAAGAAGATATCAGAAGATGGAGAGATCTCCTATGCTCATGGATCAGTAAGATTAACATAGTAATAGTGGTCATCTCACCAAAGGCAATCTACAGACTAAGTGCAATCTCTAACTTCCAACATAACTCTTTGCAGACCTTGAAAGGATGCATTTCAGAATTATATGAAGAAGTAAAAACCCCAGGACAGCTAAAGCAATCCTGAAGAATAAAAGGATTGTTGCAGGTCTCACTATTCTGTACAACTGTAGTTGTACTACAGAGCTATAGTTAAAAAAACTCACAAGTTAGTGGCATAAAAACAGATATGTTGATCAATGGAATTGAACCGAAGTCCCAGACATAAATCCACACACCTATGGACACCTGACTTTTTGATAATAAGCCAGGAAAACACACCTCTTCTTCATAAAACATAAAACATCCTCTTCATCAAATGGTGCTAGTAAAACTGGAGGTATGATGTAGAAGAATGCAAAGAGATCCATATTTATGACTCTGCTAGAAAATGAACTCCAAATGGATCAAATAATTCAATATAAAACTATAAACATTGAATCTGACATAAGAGAAAGTGTAGAATAGCCTAGAACACACTGCCATAGGAGATAACTTCCTCAACAGAACACAAATAGTGCAGCCATTAATATCAACAATTATTACATGGGACCTTATGAAACTGAAAATCTAAGGCAAAGAACACAATCATTTAACAAAGTGGCAGCCTACAGATTGGGAAATGATTTTTACCAGCTATACACTCCATAGAGGATATCTAAAATATATAAACAGACCAAGAACCTAGATATAAAATTATTACTAAATACAATTATACATGGGTATATATCTATACAAATAATTATAAACAGAGAAAATACAAATGGCTGAGAAACAAAAAAAAATTCAACATTCTTAGCTTCCAGAGAAATGTAAATCAAAACTACATTGAGATTCCCTTTTATAGTTATCAAAATGTCCAAGATCAGTAACACAAGTGACAGTTCATGATGGTAAGGGTGTGGAATAATGGTAACAGTCCTCCATTGCTGGTAAGAGTACAGCCACTGTGAAAATCAATATGATGGTTCCTCAGACAGTTGGAAGCTGATCTTCATCAAAATTCAGCTATACCACTCCTATGCATATGTCCAAAGTACACTTCATCCTGCCACAACAGATCTTGCTCAATCATGTTCATTGTTGCTATCTCTAAATAGTCAGAAACCTATATGTTCAACAGGAGACTGGATAAAGGAAACATGGTACATTTACAAAATGGAATGTTGTTCAGCTGTTAGAAATAATGACATCATGAAATATACAGGCAAATGGATGTAACTAGAAAAAAAATCATCTTAAGTGAGGTAACCCAGACCCAGAAAGATAAATATGGTATACATTAACCTATATGTGGATAGTAGCCATTAAATAAATGTTAACCAACCTACAATCCAGAGAACCAGAGAGGTTAAGTATAGAGGAATGGACTAGGCAGGTACACTGTGTTTCCTTAGGAAGGAGAAATAGAATAGATTTTACAGGTAGACTGGAAAAGGGTGGAGATGGGATCAGTAGGATCATGTGGGGAGGGGGAAGGAGGAGGCAATGTGGTATGAGACAGTTGGAATTGTCTTGAGTGATGGTATAGAAACCTAGTGCAGCAGCATCTTCCTAAAGTATATGAAGATGATCCCAATGGAGACTCCTAATGAAGGGTGTGAGTCCCAACTGGCCATCTCTTGTCTCCAAAGGATATTTCTAGTACCAGTATTGAGTTGCATTCAATTGAATTTTTGGCCAAGATAGGTCCATGGAAATCCCCAAGCAACTCAGGCCTTTACTAAGACAATGAGTTATTCTCTGCAAAGTGACAGCAGGATCCCATAGCTGAGGACAACACCCACATAATTCATTGAGCATAGTGAAGTCAAGCAGGTGCCTACATGGAGCCTTCATCCCATGCTCTAGTCTCTTTGGTGTGGGAAGATACCTTCAGGTTAACAATGTAAATAAAAATGTAAATAGTAACCCTGGCACAAAACCTTTGACCTAAAATCTGTCCTGCCTGCTAGATGTGGTAGGGCAATGGTGGCACAGAACTTGTGGAAGTAGCCAACTGATATTTGGTTTGACTCAAGGCCCACTCCAAAAGACAGAACCTGACACTACTTGGGTGGCCAATAACCAGAGATTAGATAGCCTAGAGAGCAAGGGTAAAATCAAAAGCTACTGGTTAAAAAATTATCAATAAAGTGACTCCTAATTGTACTCTGCAATATTCAGAGACCATTGTCTTATTAAGTAATGATTAGAGAAGCTTTCTCTTGCAGCAAATGGGAACAGATGCAAAGATCCACAGCCAGACATTACTCAGAGACCTTGGGACACACAGCTCTAAGCAAAAAGGACATGTCTTCAATGTTATAAAATAGACATATTTATAAATGTATTTAGAATATAAGTGATTGGTGACGAGTTGATTCTTTTAATGTAAAGCAGTGATTTATTATCCACAGTAAAGGGATTAATTCCTTACAAATCAAAGTGCACCAAGATAGAGCTGGGGAGACAGCTCAGCTAGTGTAGTGCTGGCCACACAAGCGTGTATGCTTACGTTTGATCCCCAGCACACAATACAAGATCTGTGCTCCTGTATTCTCAGTGCCAGAGAAGTAGAGACAAGAGGATTCATCAGGCTTGCTGGTCTGTCAGCCTAGCCTGCTGCATGAGTTACAGTCCAATGAGACAGCCTAACTCATAAATAAACAAGCAAATAAATAAATAAATGAATAAATATATAAACAAAAGGTGATGACCCCTGTGATTCCTGGGCTCCTGCTGGTCCTTTAAATAACACCCAAAGTTCACACCTAAAGCTGACCTCTGGCCATGGAATGATTATGTACATATATGTACATGTGTAAACATACACATGCAAGGGAATATATACATACAGTCACTCACCTGTACATATACACACATTAAAAAAAAGACAAGCAAAAGAGTCACAAGCATCCAGTTAGATTAAATAATGGGTTTAGATTCTGGTGGTTAAATAAATACAGCTTAGCAACTCAATAAAATGCTACTTTAATCTATATAATACACATATATTACAATAAATCTTAAGTTATTTGAGGGTTGGAAGCACATGTGGGGAAGTGATATACTTATAGGTATCTGAATATTTTTATTAATTATATGCAAACAATGACAGAAGAGAATATAATAGTCAGAAACACAGTTACTTATCTGAAATTAAAGTGTGAAATGCTGATTACTGGGTACAGAGCACTACCTAGCTAAGAGGCTGCATCTGAGGTCTGTCATGAAGATTCATAAAGAAAACTATTTTTCTGTATTGCCTAGACTTAAAATTTTCAAATGCTCAGGATTTTAAAATAAAACATTTGTTGGTAAATAATTAATAAAATTCAATTTGCCATATTACAGAATTAAATGATTTTTAATATATCAGAATCATAGACTTGTGAGGCAATCACTGTTTTAATTGTAGAATTTTTTTTACAGTTTCATACATGCTGTGGTCATATTCACACCCACCACCTTGTTATCCCTGCAGAACACACTCTTTGTAACTAGTCCCCTTCTTTTCTCCATGCCCATTTTTTGTGCAGGTCAAGGTGGGTAGCCACAGTCACTGTCTGTTCATGATTGTAATGGCCATGTCAGGTCCAGAAGACTGTTTCATGGCACTCATTCCCATCCTCCAGATCTGACAATCTTTCCATCTGTTTTTTATAGCATCCTTGAGCCCTGGAAGGGATGCTCTAGATGTGATTTTGGGCTTGAGCATGCCACAGCTATTTCTTTCTCTCTCTCTTTCTTTCTCTCTCTCTCTCTTTCTCTCTCTCTCTCTCTCTCTCTTTCTTTCTTTCTTTCTTTCTTTCTTTCTTTCTTTTCCTTTCTTTATAAATTTTATTTTACTTAATTGACATTTTTTTTCCATTTATTTTACATACAGACCACAGTTTCCCCTCCTTTCTTTCCTCCCATTCCATCCCCCTAACTCCCATCAACCCCTGTCCCCATCCACCTACTCCTCCTCCCTCTCCATTCAGAAAGGGACAGGCCTCCCAAGGGCTTGAGCAAAGCATTGCATATTAAGTGGAGGTAGGACCAAGCTCCTCCACTTACATCAAGGCTGAGCAAGCTAATCAAGCATGAGAAGCACAACTGTCACACACAAGGAGAGGGCCTAGGTCAGTCCCATGTAGGCTCCCTAACTGTTGGTCCAGAGTCCATATAATCCCACGACCTCAGGTCAGCTGTCTCTGTGGGTTACCCTATTATGACCTTGGCCCCTCAGCTCATACAACCCCTCCTCCCTTCATCAGAGAGCCTTTATCCAGTAACTGATGGAAGCAGATGCAGAGATCCACAGCCAAGCACTGAGCCAAATTTTGGGAGCCACAGTTATTTATTTCAACATTTTGCCCAGTTAAGAATGTCTGCATTGACTCTTGCCCCACAAATGAAACTTCTCTGAACAAGACCAAGAGCATCACTAGGCTGCTGGTATAAACATAAATTTTAAGAATCAGTTTGGCTCCATTTAGTAAAACATCAGTAGATTACTTGTAGGGCCTGTGTGCTTTTTTCCATGGACTTTTGAACAGCTTTATGGTATCAGCTATGAACTCTGTTCAATGGAGCAGACCCTAAATCCAATTAGAAAGTTGTTGATTTCTCCTCCAAATAACTATTCTACTACTGCACCAGTGTGCACATTTTTGTCGAGCAGGTCAGTATTGTGGTACACAAGGTCCACAGCTGGGTAATACAGCTGATTTCTTTTCTTTTCTTCCCTAGTAACATACTTAGCAACTTCTGGTACTAAAAAAGCAAGTTGGCAGAAAGTAACCTGCCAGCTTAGTTCCAGCTTGATTTCTCTGTTTAAAGAACTGCAGGCTGTGCTGTGCGATAACGTTCTTGTACACTGGTTTAATATAATGCAGATTGGCCAGTAGTCAGGCAGGAAGTAAAGGCGGGATGAGCAGACTAGAAGAATGCTGGGAAGAGGAAGGGTGGACTGAGGAATCATCAGACAGACACAGAGGGAGCAAGATGACAAGGCAGAACTGAGAAAAGGTACCAAACAACATGGCTAAACATAGATAAGAATTATGGGATAGTTTAAGTATAAGAGCTAGTCAGTTCTTACCTTAGCATAAGCTAATGGCTGACCAGTTATAATTAATTTAAGCCTCTGAATGATTATTTTATAAGCAGCTGCTGGACTGTGGGGCTGGGTGGGACCAGAGAAACTTTTGACTACATTTGGCTACCCAACATGTTGGCTTGACTTTCCATCTAAAACTTGAGAGAACTTAAAAAGAGATTCTAAAATTGAGCTAAAAACAGCTTCCTACTTCATGTCTCATACTGGCTGTGAGACACAGCAGCATTTTGGCTTGAGCACAGCACAGCTGATTCCTGCCTCGGTACAAAGAGATCTCTCCAAGCTGCACAGCATGCTACATAGAGGATTTAGCTTTTACTCACACAGACAAAACAGATTTGTTGACTAGCTGTATGCTATCCGGTGGCAGCATGAACCCAAGAGTTGGTGGGGTAAATATGACTACCCTGGGTTCTGCTGCCATGTTGGGAAGCTGAGATGGGTGGAGTCAGCAGCCAAAGCTGCTGCTTTTCATTCTAGCCAGGGAGTTTAATAGATTCACAAAAGACAGATTCAGATGGAATAAACCTCTAAATGGTTTACAATATATGTAAAAATGTAGGTAGATTTGGAAGAGAGGGAAAAAAGAATATATATATTTATGTAAAAAAATAGGTAGTTTTAAAAAATAAAGTCTTTAAAGAAATAGTAAAAGCAATTTAAAGGTTAAGCCATATAAAAATGAAAATTACAGAGTCTGGATTATATTGTCTTTGTGATTTTTAACTTCAGAAAGATATTTGATTGCAAATGCTAAGCAGTTAAACCAATGTGTATATTTTAAAAGTATCTTGACTTCAAAATTTGTGTCTAAGGATCTGTTGCTCTGGAAAAGAGGTTCTGCTTTTGTTTCCACAGAAGATGAAAACCTGTGGATTGCTTCCAGGCTAATGTAGTTTGATCATTGAAGACCCCCCCTAAAAGGTCTCCAATGACACCATGGTCCATAAGATCCAACATCCAAAATCAGTTTCAAAGCAACTGGCTGAGAAGATCCATCCTCACAGACTATGACAGCCATGGTTTAACTAAAATTCTTAATTTTCTCAGGATCCCCATAAGATTTCCAGCACCCCCAACCAGCAGGAAGTAGTATGAGAAGCTACTCCCAAATCCCCAAAATATTGTTTATAAATGTTTATTTTTATTTAAAGGGGATAGATTATAAGTGCAATATATTTCTAAAAAAGAAAAGGGGATAGTATAGATATGATAGGATAAAAGGATAGATTATTAAATCTACTTTTTAAGAGCAACTTGTTTAAAATGTTTCACAATGCTATGGATTTTAGTTTAAATTGATACAAATTTAAAGTTAATTTTGTTATATTGTATGTATATTTCTACTGTTGTTTAAGATACTAT